TTTGGTTAGAACACCTCCGAAAATCCATTTTCTACGTGTTATTGGCCGCTTAAAAAAGCTAAACATTTTTTCTAGCCAAAAAAGCCGATAGAAAGTCGATTCTTGACAGCTTGAGAAGCTTGAAAAACCATTTTCTCTCCCAAAAAGCTAAGAAACTACAAATTCCGTTTAACGCCGTTTAAAAAGCAAATGTACCACGCTAAAAACCTTGAAAAAAACGTTTTTATATTCTAAAAACCACATAGGACGTAATTTTTAGCTAATATAAAAAAATAGTGTCTGTGTGTGTGTATATTTGCATGCAACTTCCGTAAGTATGTACCGCACCTACAGCCTCAGGGGAAGGTTTTGAAGGTACGTATGATACGTCATTAGGTGCGTAATGGTCCCGAGATGAGTGCACACATATAAAATTGAAGAAAATCGGCTGTTTTCGCTATTAAAATTAAGTTTTTGTAAATATATCGAAAAACCTCTTTGTTAAGAGGCAATTTGCATTGACCGGAAGTGGCCGTAGCCTATAAAAATGGAGGGAGCGTGCGCTTTTCATTTTTTGGTGAGCGGCATTCGGCAAGCCCTATGTAAAGTCAAATTTTCAGAAGTCCTAGACGGGTCCAGGGTTGAAAAGCCGCGAAGCGGTTTTTCAACTCTGGTTTTTAGCTAAAAAAACTCATCAGAAGCCCAATTCTAGCTTCAAAAGCTCCAAAAAGCCGTTTTCTAAGTTTTAAAAAGCTAATTTTTCATGCCAAAACCCCCCAAAAAACTTGTACTTTGTAAAAAGCATACAAGACTGCATTTTTAGGCTAGAACGTTCTAAAAAAAAGTCGAAAAAAACCATATCGGAAGCGCAGTTTTTAGCAAAAAAAAAAACTTCTAAAACACGATAACGAGCTTTTCAAGCCGAATTTTCCATTGAACAGCTCCAAAAACCCCTTTTCTGGCCAAAAGTTCTACGAAAATACAAATTCCGCTTAAAAAAACTAAGAAACTTCAACACCAGCTGAAAGACGTTTTAAAAAGAAAGATTTCCACGCTAAAAACCCCCTAAAAAGGCGTATACTTTGAAAAAACTACCTAGGAAACGGCTTTTAGCTAACAAAGCTGATAAAAAGCCCAATTCTAGCTTCAAAAGCTCCAAAAAACCCCTGTTCAAAGTCTTAAAAAGCAAATTTTTGATGCCACAAACCTCCAAAAACATTTGAACTTTATAAAAACCATACAAGAATGGGTTTTTAGGCAAAAAAAAAACTCTAGAAACGTCAAATCTAAGCTTGAAAAGCTCTAAAAAGCAAATTTTGCACGCCAAAAGCCCGAAAAACGTTTATTTCGGCTTGTAAAAAGCTCCAAAAAACGCGTTTCCGGCGGAATTGTTTCAAAACGTTTAAAAATCCCCGCAATCGATTTTGAACGCTGAACTTAAAGCGGAAACGATTAGACCGCGAAATTCCGAGGAAAATTTTTACTTTTAAAATCATAAAAATAGATTTAAAATAACAATTTAAGGCCCAAAAACAAGGCGCGAGATTCCGAACAAAATGTTGCCTTTAAAAGCGGCAAAATTCGATTTAAAATACTGTTTAAGGTCTAAAAACAGGGCGCAAAAACTGTGAGCAAGATTTTTGGATTTAAAACTGTGTAAAAATCACCGAAATCGATTTTTGCCGATCGAGCGCGAAATCCCGAGCAAAATTTACTTTGAAAAGCCACAAAAATCGATTTGGGATACAATTTAAGGACTAAAAACCGAGCCAAAACGCCCATTACCAGTTTGCCGAGGTTGGTGAGGTTGTGGCGCAGTTTGTCGCCGATCTGGCGCACAATCTCGCCGCGTTTCGGGGCGGGCACCTGGAAAAGCACAAAAATGCGAATGGGAATGTGTGCGTTACCGTCCTCCATTGCTTGTGCGCCTGCTGGGTGGCGGCGATCGCCTTCTCCCAATCGGCCACCGTCCCGTTTTGCACCTGAAAAAGACGGAATAGCTTTAAAAATCTTTAAAAAGCCAAAAAGATTTTTTTTTCATTTTTTAGGAACCGGTTTTTCAAATAAACAAATACGGTAAGTTTTTCTAAATTGTCATCTACTTAAAAAACCGGTTTCAAAAGTTTACACGCTTCAAGTTTGAAAAACCAGGTTTAGTTAAAAAAGTGACGTTTTCTAAGTCAAAAACGCTTTTTAAAAAGTTTAAACGTTTAAAATTGCGAATTTTAACGTCTAAAGTATCGCTTAGAAGTTGAAAAACCTGGTTTAAATGGTTTACAAGTCGAAAATTTCAAAAAATAGGGTTAGTAGTTCTAAAAGTGAAGTTTTTAAAGCCTAAAAAGCCAAAGTTTGAGTCTCTAAGCTTAGCAAGAGCTTTCTAAGGCCGATTTCGCAAGTGCCGATCACGAAGCTGCGCTCAAAAACCTGCAGAATGCCATATTCGCAAAGTTACGCGGGTTTTTGAGCCGGAAAACCGGGAAATTGGCCCGGTTGCTTTGAAAACGGGCGTTTCTGCAAGTTTCGAAGGCACGTTCGTGATCGCCGGCGAGAATCTAAAAAAGATAGGCCTGAAAAAGGGAATTTCAACGCCGAAACACCCCCGGAAACGTTTTACACGGTGTCTTAGAGCGCGCACGGGGGGTGGGGACGGGCATGGCCTAATGGTCTAAGGCGGCGGTCGGAGTGACAGGCGCGGGGTCCTGGTTCGATTCCTCCCCTCGCATAAAGACGCGACACCGTTTTGCTTTTTTTGCACAAGTTTCTGAAAGGCACCGACAACAAATCTTTAGCGAATTCCAGATAGAAAATTAAACAGATGGGGCGGCCCGGAGGCCGAATCAGAAAATCATCTTGGTTTTTGCTTCAAAACGTTCCAAGTCCTTATTTTTCCCCGCGATCGCCCTAATTCTTTGACTAAAATGTTCCCTAGAGTCTTCTCTATCGATCGCCAGGCGCAACATTTCTAATTGTTTTTCGAAAAAAAGTTATAGCCTCTAGAAAGCTTTTTCCCATACATTTTGGGGACCAAAAGGGGGCGTGGCCTAGCCCTGTCCCTCCCGATCCCCCGTGCGCGCTCCAAGTAAGGCCTAAGACGCCGTGTTTAGTCGGCAAAACCACGAGTTAGGCCTACAAAATCGACATTTCACGCCCTGAAACTCGTCATTTCCGGGCTGCCCGGGGCGCCAAAGATTAAAAACGGGAACATGGCCGCAAAAACGCGCTCTATCTCGGGGCAGCAATCTCGGATTGCGCCAATTTTTTTCCGCCATGAGACGGCCCTGGAAATGGCCAGTTTTCGGGTATAAAAACACCGATTTTAGGCCGATCTTCTTCAGAATTTCGTGCCGATCACGAAGCTGCGCTCAAAAACCTGCAGAATGCCATATTAAGAAAACTACATGACTTTTTGGGCCTGAAAAAGGGAATTTAAACGCAACAGTCAGAAACGTTTTTGTGAGCAAAACCACGAGTTTGGCTCAAAAAGCTCTCTAAATTGTGGTTTCGACGTTTAAAACACAGTTTAAAAGGTTTACAAGCCTAAAATTTCAAAAACTAAGCTTATTAGTTCAAAAAAATCAAGCTTTTGAAGTTTTAAAAGCCAAAGTTTTGGCCTCTACGCCTAGCAAGAGCTTTTTCAAAGCCGATTTCGTCAATTCAATGTAAAACTCTCAAAAACTGGATACCTTGGCGATGACGCTGTTGGAGGCGGGGGCCACCGATTCGACGACAGGGCCCGTGGCTGCCCATTGGCCGTTGAAGACGCCGGCATTCTCCTCCTTCAACCCCAATTCTTTCAGGAAAGAATATTTGGGGTCGTTGATGAGGAGGAGTGGTGCTGATGATGAGGACGACATTCGGACGGTGAGCAGCACACGGGAAATTGTTTGACGCGCGCCGCTGGCACTAAGAACGCCCATCTATCTGCAGAAAAACGGAAAAGTCATAGAAAGATGTGCAGAAAAGAGCGGAAAATGACTAAAAATTGATGGGGAAAAGGGCAGCGCCTATAAAAATCGTCGCGACAACGCGGAATTCTATGCAAAAACCCTTTCGCGCCTAAAAAATTCTAAAAACCTAGAAAAACGCGCCGAAAGCTACACTCTAGAAAACGTTTGCTGCAAAAACTACGCTTTTTCCGGGGAAAAATTAGCGTTTAGAACTTTTAGATTGCCTAAAACATCAGAATGGAGCTTAGTAAGCTGCTAAAAAGACTAAAAGAGCGAATTTTGCGGGTCGGGGCGAGACCTAGCTAAAAATCGACGGGAAAACGCTGGCGCGTATAAAAATCAGCTAGAAAACGAGGAACGCGCCACAAAAATGGTTTCGCTTCTAGGAATTCTAAAAATCTATAAAATCAGGCGCCGAAATCGAACCTCTAAAGCCGTTTCCCGTAAAAAAACGCTTTATAAGGACAAAACATGGATTTTGGCGCTTTTCTATTGCCTGAAAACATCAACATTATGCTGCCCAACAAGCGAAAGGTATAGAAAAACGTGCGAAAAGAGTAGGATCATCTTGGAATTAGTAAAACGTCGAATTTTTGAAGTGTGAAAACCGTCGTTCTTGCTTTTCCAAAATCGGTTTTAGCGCCTAAAAATCTATCAAAATGCGCGCCAATCGCTATTTTCTCGCCCGAAAATGGAAAATGGAGCTAAAAAAGGCGGGGAACCACGTGCAAAAGGGCGGCCAGGATGTTAGTGACGAAAAGCGGGGACGAAATGCAGGATTTCGACAAAATTCCCCCATCTAGACGACGGCTACGCGACGGTACGCGCGGGGACGGGGGATTAGAGCGCGCCTACTCGAATCCACGGTTCTAATCTAAACTTACGACCGATATTTTGTTGAAGTTTGTTGTGTAGAGGCGAAAGGATACGAAGAAGGGGCGGGAGACATCTGTCTGAAAGGTAGCCATCCAGCCACAATCAACAATCATATGATCATCCCCCCCCACCCCACCCCCGGGCCCCCTCACCCTTCCAATCCAACAAACAAGCTTTCAGCAATCCGGCTGCTCCGCGATGGGGACACCTATTCGCTGCCGTGATGAGATGTCTTTCAGGTGATTTCCCCTCGATTGGCTGCCAGAGAACACAGCCATTCTCTCAACGAAACCTTTAAAAACGTCATATCTAGCCACCGATCTGAATACCAGGGAGTCTGGCGATACGAGAGAAAGTTTCCCTATCGGAACTTGACTCTAGCACAACAACAGCTCGTCAACGAACATGTCCGATTCCATCAGAAGGTCAATCTACGCGCCACTTGCAAGGTATTTCCGCCCGAGAACCGAATTGCCAGATTGCCGATGTTGCTAGGAGTTTGGCCCAAAAAGCGAACAGCCTGTCTCGATCCGGGGATTCGAACCCGGATCGTCAAATTGGCAGGCGATGCCACTAACCCCCAGACGACCTTCGGCGCTGGATTTTATGGAAGATTAATTTCTCTCATCATCTATCCGACTCCGTTCAGCACTTCTCCATCCAACCAGCCCTCTACTTCTACATCAACGGCTTTTACAACAAAATCTGGATCCACGGTGTCTCATCGGAACCGGAAATGCAGGAGGTGAGAGAAACAGGGGGAGGAGGCCAGTTGATTAATTTGTTATCCGGCCCCGTCGATTCTAGGTATCATCCTTGGGCCCACAAGATGGTATGAAAGTTCTGGTCAGATGGGCCTTGGATGACTTCACCATGGATGATTTCTGGATTTTCGTCAAGCTCTCCGCCAATACAATATCTCCATACATTCATTTTAAAATTAGGTAATGGCACTTTTTTTTGAATAGCATCTATATTTTAGGGGTTCTACATTGGGTGGCGCTGGTTATCGTCGAGATCTGCGATTAATGCCTGACGGGTAGGAATGAATAAGCAAAAGAGAAACAAGACAGTTCCCTAGACGTCCGCAGGCCTGTCCGATTTTTACGAATTAGCTATCTATCAAAAGCTCTCAGAAAAGCAAGTCCGGCACGTTTCGCCGATTTTTGAAAGCTCCACTTTTTTCCTAGATTTTTGGCATTTTTCACGCAAAAGGACACGCTTTTTTGTCCAAAACGCAATTTAGCCGGTTTCAGCGCTATCCTAGCTGTGTTTTCGCAAATTGCTTGCAAGAAGCTGTCGTTGGGCTGCCAGGAAAGGCGTCAAAATTGCTAAATTGCGGTTTTTTTTGTAAGAAAACCCCCTTTTTGAGAAAAACATGAGAAAATCCGCGCGTTTCGCAAAAATAATAGTAAATGGTAGAAAAATTTGAAATTGTTCAGAATCGAAGAGCCGCGCTGGACTCGCCTTACCGAGAATTATCGATAGGTAGCTAAATCTTAAAAATCTGCGGCCGGCTAGGGGGCGGCGGGATTTTTTTCGGACACCCTGGGGGGGAGACCAATTTTTTTCCTGGCGGTCCCGGTTGACCTAGTGATCGAATACAAAGTGTTTTCCCACTGTTGTTAGTAAATTTTAACTATATTTAAGGCAGAAAAACTTTCAAAAAAGTTAGAAAATTGTTTGAAAGTCGAAAATTCAGTCATTTTGGGACTTCCCCCCCCGCTAATCCTAAAGGTTCTATAGGATTTTTCGACCTAAAATCAAAATGTGTGTAGTTTTTATGCTCAGGAATAGTTAAAAACCAGTTAGAAACGCATGTGCTATTTAGGTAAAAATTTAGGCTTGTGCCGAAAAAAATCGGTTCCCCCCCCGGAAATCCCAAAGAACCTCGATTATAATTGATGTTTCAGGAAAATATCGTATGATGTGGCCCATCTTCGAATTCTCGAAAAATTGACAGCAAATGTAAAGAGCCGTCGGATATGCGTCGGTTTTTCAAGGGATGAAGAAGGACGGCCACTGCCGGTAAGACTATCTCCCCCCCGTCCCGGCTTGTCAAAACGTATCTTACCTGCTTCCCTAGCCAAACCTCTTTTTAGACTAGATCATATCGAGGATTGGGCAAACTGCTTTTCTTCCAACGCGACAATCTAGTCGTTTATCCTGGCTTTCCCGAGGGGACAATAATAACTAGCAGGTGGGAGAGAGAGAGCGAGAAAGAGCGAGAGAGAGAGAGAGAGAGAGAGAGAGAGAGAGAGAGAGAGAGAGCGAGAGGAGAGAGAGAGAGAGAGAGAGAGAGAGAGAGAGAGAGAGAGAGAGAGAGAGAGAGAGAGAGAGCGCTAGAGAATGAAAACCACTGAGACTGACAATACCAATAATCATTGTAGCTCATTGAAGATAAGGGAATGGCTATTGGAAGGAACTCGACCCTATCAGGTATTATTCTCTCATCATTCACTCCCCCTTTTTGCAGGCATTCCTCTCGGTCCTCGACCTGACACCCGAAGAATATTTTGACTTCTATTCCAACGCCTTCAACCAGGTATCCAATCCCCCCCCGATAATGGAAAAGAACTCTCCCCTTTCAGCTACTCGACTGTCAACTCATCCGCTTCAGCTTCATCTATTTCTCAGAGAATGAATGTCTTCTCTCTCTTCCAATCATCCACAAACTCGTCCTCCATATCCTCAATTCGGTATCATTTCCCCCCATTAATAGATCGGTGAATGGAGAGATTTAGAGAAAACGAGAGACGGGTGATGGTCGACGGCTTATCGTTCTCGATACACAACTTGCCCTGCCAGCTGAGGAGGGTCGATACATTCCGGTGAACATCTCTCTCTCTCTCTCTCTCTCTCTCTCTCTCTCTCTCTCTCTCTCGTTTCTTTGTCTCCCTTCCAATACCGACAATTCCAGAAGACGTCAGTCAATTGGAGAGCAGACAACGAAATGATGCTGCAGAAGCTGAGCGATGAACTGAACGAGATATCGATTGACCATCCAATTCTAACCTCTCAGGTACCTGCCGTCTATCAATCATCGGCATCCTCATTTCCTCATTTCTAGCTCTACAATGCCCAAGAAGATTTCCCTCTACAAAGACTTTCCGGTGTCTCCCCCGCACATTATCTTTTTTCGACCGGTATCCACACAATAATTGCCCAGAATTATCCCACGCAACTACACCTCATCAATCAGGTATTATCCTCGCTTGTCTGTCCGTGTATTTTGTCTAGCTAGTTGTAAAGTCTAATCGTTCATCTACAGGGTGTCCCAAAAAAAGTACCCCCCCTAGTGGCGCGCGGTCGTGCCCGATTTTTACGGTTTTGGTATCTATCGAAAGCTCTCGAAAGGGCGAGAAAACAACGAGGGTCCATTTTTTTATTATGTATTTCTATTTGCGCATTTTACATCCAAAAACCCCGAAAACCGCTGATTTATGCCAGATTTGCATGCTAATTGCGAAATTCCTGTTGAAAAATCACCTGCTTTTTTTAGAAAAACGTTAATTCCGAATTGGATGAGCGTAAATTTTAAACAACGAAGCCCGCATGTGTTCTCGCCTTCTCGAGAGCTTTCGAATGGTGTAAAAATCAGTCCGATCCGAGCTTCCTCCGCGCCGCTAGAGCGGGGTACTTTTTTGCGTGACACCCTGTATTTCCCAGTTACACTTCTGACTTTCAGATTCAATTGATCCTCAACAGTGCCGGTATCGAAAAGGAAATCAATGTTCGACGGCAATGGCCGATTGCTTTGCACAAACATTCATCAACATTCTAATACTATTTCATTATGATATTTGGGTTCGAGTGCAGTTTACCCCCCCCCCCCCTCCCGCCAGCCCTAACTTTTCAGCCATACGTCCTATTAATGCGCCGAGTATCTCAAAATGTTCGCCGTCGTCGAATTACTCTAAAAAAGTTGTTTTCTTACATCAAAAATTGTTAGAAAAAATTTTATAACAATTATAAGTCTGGGTTTTCTTTAGTTAATTTTTGCTGTTCCAAAGTCAGTTTCGTATCTCGGCTATCTTTTGACGCACAGAGCTGTCAATGGTACCAAAATGTAGCTCTTGCTCTGGAGAATAAGCCTACAGTACGTTTGAGCCGAAAAAATAGCGGAAAACAAAAATATTTGAGTTTTAGACTCCTAGTACATCGAAGCATAGCGGCTTAATCTTTTCAACTTTCAAAATCTTGTAAAAATTTTTTTAGCAATTTTTGCCGCAAGAAAACAACTTTTTTATAGTAATTCGACCACGGCGAACATTTTGAGATACTCGGCGCATTAATAGGACGTATGGCTGGAAAGTTACGGCTGGGGGGGGTAAACTGTAACTGTAATAGTTGGCAAGAAACCCAAAGACTTTTCCTATCTTGCTTCCGCAACGGTTTTTATGCGAAAACTCTGGCAATTTTGAAATATAGATCAGACAAAATGAAAGGCGAAATTGGGGAGTATTCGGGTACTTTCATGATAAACTATAAACTAGCTACGGGCAGAGGGGATAAAATACGCTAAAAGCGCCCGGGGTCGAACCCCGGGGGTACTGTAACTAGAGAGCCGTACATTGGAGTGCTTCGGAATCTTTTGCATTCGGTTTTCTGGCAACCAGTTTAGCCCTAAGAAGGCAAAAAATTAAAAATAAACTCCTAAAATAAACAAAAAAATTAGCATGAAATTTGCCAAATTAACATTTTCCTATCGTTTCGTAATTTGGCCATTACGCGGCCCGGCTATTTCGGATGGCCGCCCAGCCACTTCCGCCCCTTCGGCCCGTACAACCCACGCCTTCGGTAATTTCAGTTAGGCCGGAGGAATCATCAAAAAAGGAAAAAGCAAAAAAATTCGTCTCGCCCAGGGTCCGAACCCTCGGGTCCTGTAGCTCGAGAATTTTACATAGAATCCTATCGAAAATGCGCGCGTTGTCCTTTCTGCCTGCCAGTGGAAGCACGTCAGCAAAAAAAACCAGCAAGGAAGCAGAAAGCAAAAAAGTTTGCCGCGCACGGGGGTCGAACCGTCGACCCTGGGACCGTCAGTCTGGGTATTAACCGATTGCGCTAAGTGCACAGGGATGGTACTTGGCATCTAGATAGGCGATTCAAGCAGCTAACTTTCAAAAAGCAAAAAATGTCGCTTTAAAACCCACGAGTTTAATTAATTTAATTTAATTTCGATACAAATAGAAATTTTTTGCCTTTTTTTAAATTTTCAAACTTCAAACTGTTTTCAGACGCGTTCTTGGTGGCCACTGCCCCGCAACAACGCGTCCACCCCAAATCACATCACCAACGCTACGCAAGTGTACGCTGCTTTACGGTTACCGTATCTCCTTGGAAAAGACGTCCTGTATGGCGTTGTACGTTCCAAACCCTTCCTTAGCATCCAGTTTGACCATTCACCAAAAAACAATGCAACAATCGCCCGTTTTCACGCCCAGACTACAAAGTACACCCCCGAGGCGGGGCGGCCGGCTACAGTACCCCTACAGTGCCCCAAAAAGCGGGGCCAGAAATGTTATAATAGTTGGAATGGGTTAACTGGCATCCAGTTTGGCCATTCGCCAAAAATTAAGGCCTACCCTCCAAACTACAACTTTTAAATAGACTACAAAGTACAACATTTACAGGCCCACCAATCACTCGATGGCCCACGCGGGAACTCAGACCAGCAGCGCCCTGCCACGCAATGTCGAGTACGGTAGTCGACAATTGACGAAGGAGGCCGGCTAGCAGAGAAAATTGGGGAATTGTGATTCGATTACGACAGGAAATTAATCCCCTAAAAATTCCATTTTTTTGTTTTTTTTTTTGGTAGGAGCAAGCTAGCAGGGGCAATTTGCGGATGCGGAATCGATAAACTGGCAGGCAGATAGAACAACGGCCAACTAGCAGAAACAATTTGGGAGCTCCCAAACCGATTACGACATGAAAATAAATAACCTAAAAATTCATTGTTTTTGGGAGGGGCAAGCTAGCAGCGACAATTTGCGGAACATTCCAGGGGCAATTCGGGGGTGTTGCCGGCGGTTCTGCTGAGCAGCGGCCTCCTCCTCATCCTCATCCTCATCCTCATGGCCATCGCCTTTGCCGGCTTCTACGCCTTTCTACGCACACGATTCGTCCTCAGTACGCTTTCCTAGCCTTCAATGGTCCTTTAAAATCGGAAAAATGCTTTTAAAGGGACCGGCAAGTCAGAATCCATCGCACCGCCCATTTTTGTCTTCAACGGCCCTTTAAAATCGGAAAAAATGGTTTTGAAGGGACCGGCAAGTCAGAAGCCATTGCCCCTCCATATTTTGCCTTCAACGGTCCTTTAAGAGCCGGCAGCGGCCAATCCCCAAAAAACTCGGCTAGCCTGCCTGTCAATTGATGCCGCGCGGTCCCTTTAAAATGGGCCAACCGGCTTTTAGAGGGCGGTGGAAGGCAAAAAGGGGGGGGGGCTTGGATTATGGCTTGCTAGGACCTTTAAAACCCAAAAAATCTTTTTTTAGAGCCGCCCAAGGACAAGCATGGCAGCACCCGGTCGACGCGCAGCAAAAAGGTCGGCTAGCAGAGATTCTTTGCGCTAAGCCTAAGCCTAAGCCAAGCCAAAGCTAAGCAAAAGCTAAGCCAAAGCCAAAGCCTAACGCCCTCCTTTTCAGAAGAAGGGCAAACGTGGCAAGCACAAGCGTGATCACTCTGACGCGGTAAGGCCACGCCCCTTTTCTGACCTCCCCGATTTCCATGGCGTAATCGATTAGACCCCGGCCCTCGATTTTCAGGATAACTCGTCGAAGAAGGCCTCAAAAGACTCGAAGGGCTCCAAGGGATCCGCCCACCCGCCCCCCAAGCAACTACCCATCGCCAAGGTCACCCAAACTCGAGACTCGGGGTCCAGGGTTCGACCCCCGGCCGCGACAACCTTTTTGCTTTTTGCGGTTTCTAGCAAAATTTCAAAAGTATCGTTATAGAGAGCCGAGTTGGCTGCCAGAAAAGCCGAGGCCAAAATTTGGGAGCATTTTGGCAGTTGATTCTCGAGTTACAGTACCCCGCCGGTTCGATCCCTGGCGGCGGCACCAACATTTTGCATTTTGCTTTTTTAGTCGGATTTTTTGTAAAGAGACTAACTGACTGCCAGAAAAGCTATTGCAATGATTCCTATAGAATTTTGACAGTTCTCAAACCAGTTACCGTACCCCACGGGTTCGACCCCCGGCGGCGGAACAAACTTTTTGCTTTTTGCTTTTCCGATGCAGTTTTCGATGCTGAATTTCAGGCGCCGGCCAATCGTGCCGATCTGGACACGCTCGTCGACGTGCAGTCGATCAGATGAGAGAGAGAAAGTGGGCGTGGCCTCCTGCCTGAACTACAGACTACAACAACTACCGTACACGACACTCGACTACAAACTATACTCGGAACGCCCTCCTCTCTCTATGACTATCTCTGTCTCTGTGTCTCTCTCTCTCTCCATTTCTCTCGCTCTCTCGCCTCGATTCTGATTTATACCAGCAAAACAAGAAATTACACCTCTACCTTGTGATTATCGTAACCCCCCGCCGTGGATAAAGCTATTTTTGCCAATTTTCTTGTATCACTACTTATACTGGCAAGCAGGCATGAAGATGCAAAAGATTCCGAAGCGCTCCAATGCACGCGTCTCGAGTTACTGTCCCCCGCAGGGTTCGACCCTCGGGCACGGCAGAACTTTTTGCTTTTTGCTTTTTCGCGTGAGGATTGTGGTTGGGTGATTGTGTCAGATGGGTGGCGTGGGTGCAACTTCTTCTTCAGCTTCTTCTTCTTCTCCTGCCAATTATTTGCCAACCGCCCCTCCCAACTCAAATTTGCCCCTCTCAAGCGTTTCTTTGCCCCCCTTCTTCTCCTCTAATCCCCTACGCCACACGCCTATTCACGTTTTTTCCTCCTCAAGGACCCGTCATTTTTTGCGCGAGACTACACAGAACTCATTGTATTTTTTTGGCTACAAATTATGATTTTTTCGAAAAATGAACTTTAGACGGATTTTGTAGTTTGTACTCTGTAGTTGGGCCTAAAACTACAAAACCTTTTCAAAACAATTACAATCACTAAACTGTCTCGCAGTTTCCTAAATACTACAAAAAAATCCGAAATTCCATGAGACTACAAGCTACAACCGCCTCTCGAAAACTTCAAATCTGGCAATTGTGGGAATCCGCATTTTGTAGAACATTTTTTTGGAATGTTTCGTAACCAACACGTTTAATGCGCTTACTGGCAGGCAGGCTAGCCGATGCCATTTGGGAATTTTCTCCTAGAGGCCAGCTAGCAGAGATCTTTGGGGAACTCGGAGGTCCTGGGTACTTGGATCGAGATTTTTGGTTTGCAGCCGGGTTTTTCTGGAGGAGCACAAACAATTGAGGGGGGGGGGGAACGGACGAGTGCCAAATAGAATGCGGAGAGTACGGTATTTACTTTGTTTCTCTCCCTCTCCCTCCCTCTCTCTCTCTCTCTCTCTCTCTCTCTCTCTCTCTCTCTCCCACCCGGCTGGCAGCAACCATTTTTGCTCTGTTTCTCTCGCTCTTTCCCTGCACCCTCTCGCTCTCTCGCTTTGAGAAGTTGTTTAAACTGTTCCCTGCCAGCCAGAAGACAATTCCCGCTGTTTCTCTGCGTTTCTCTGTCTCTCTCCACTTTCTCGCCCGAATTTTTTGAGTAGTTTGCCGACACGGGGGCGTCCAGGGGCCGCGCCCCGCAAAAATTCCTCCCTTTTTTCTGCAAATAAACCCGGGGCCAGCTGAGGGCCCTTCGAAAACATTGATTCACGCAACTCCAAGGCGTTCAGGTTGTCCGGCGGAATCGATTTTCATGTCGTAATCCATTTTGGGGTACTGTATTTCGCTATGAGCTCGATTTCTACCGTATCCCGATATTTTTCCGGCTTCTGAAAACTATTCGGATCAATTGCTGGCCAGTTAAAATATTCCAGGCGAAAAAATGACAAAATGGGTTCTGTAGCGTGATTTTTGAGATTTTGGAATCCACCCTCATTTCTAATTCCACCGTATAGCGATTTTTTGGATTCTGAAAATTAATTCTGGCAAACTGCCAGCCAGTTAGAATATTCCCACAAAAATTTCGTTCAAATTTGCGCAAAAAATTACCGTAACCCTACGCGACGCTCCATTTTCCAGGGGAATGTCTACCGTACACCAGGGCGGAGCTGCCTATACACTCGAGTACTCGCCCGAGTATAAGCCCCGGGAGCGCGAGATCCACAACTCGGTGAGTGGCTTTTGAAAAAGCAAAAAGCAAAAATTTTGTACCGCGCCGGGGGTCGAACCCTCGTCCCCAATTTAACAAGTTTAAACCGATTGTTTTGTGTTTACTTTTTCCAATCGCTGGACTGGTAGACAGTTAAGCCGTTTCCAAAATTTGAAGCAAAAAGGCAAAAGGCAAGAGGAGATTACCGCTCCCGGGATCGAACCATCGACCCTCAGAACGTCATTTCCAGCGTCAAATTCCAGATTTTCGACACGATGTCCCGGCCGTTCTCGCGTACGTCGGATCGTGGAGAGGGTGGCAGTGACATGTGAGTGATTCGGGACGCTTTTAAATGGACCAGTTCGAAAACTGTGGCCAATTGGTCTTGCCATTGGCCACAGTTTGCCTGCCAGTCTGACGACCCGGGTTCGACTCCCCGCCGTGGCAAATGTTTGCTTTTTGCCCAAAACTCTCAGAATCTGCTAACTGGCGGCCAGAAAGCTAGCGAAAGTTAGAAAGAGAGCGATAGTGAGAGAGAAATCGAAAAAATTTGAAGTTTTTGGGCGGGGCTCGGTCAGGAATTTTGCAAAACTTTTGCAAGAAGCGGAAGGGACGGGAATGGAGGCAGATTAATCCTCCAGAGTTTTTCCGCAATTTTTTGGAAGCCATAAAAAATGGGGGGAGACGGGGAAAGCGGAAACATCCGTCATGTCTCAAAATGCCCCCAGGGAATCGCCCTTTCCGAGGCGATTTCTCGGTTCGCAATTCTCAAATTATCTCTGCTCGCCTGCCAATGGTCAAAATGGCTGCCAGATAGGCGATTCTGAAAGTTTGAAGCAAAAAGCAAAAAGTTTGGCGCCGCCCGGGGTTGAACCCTGGCCTTGAGATTTCCAGGCAAGACCACTAACCGCCTGGCCACGCGTTTCGGCCGGATTTTTGTGGCTTTTTTTGCGAATCCTGAATCTCGCTGCCAGATAAGCCAATTACTTTCTCAAATTGCCTCTGCTAGCTGGCCTTGTTTTTTCTAGTGAAAATTAGGCAATCTGGGCGGAAATTACCTAAAAATCGCCCCAATTTTCCCCAAAATGGCCTCCGCTAGCTCGTCAAGTGGCTAAATCGTCGATCTGGCATCCAGAACACCGAACTACCACCAAAAAACCCAGATTTGCCGTGTCCGCGCAGGAAATCGGCGGGAAATTGAGTTTTGGGCGGGGGCTGGGCAGGGCGGATATTGCGTAGTGGCCGGAGGGAAAGGGACAATTCGCCTTTTCTCACAATTTCCTGAGTGGCCAATGCTCAAATAAAAATGTTTTATGCTCTGTCTCATCTCTCTCTCTCTCTCTCTCTCTCTCTCTCTCTCACGGTTAACATTGCGTAATCGCTTCAGAATTTAATTTTTCGTCTGAATTCCGCCTTCCTGGCTTCCAGATTGCCTATTCCGACAGTTTGAAGCAAAACGCAAAAGGTTTGCCGCGAAGGGGAGTCGAACCCTGGCCTTGGGATTGGCAGGCAAGTTCGCTAACCACTTGGCCAAGTTTTTGACCCCGATTTTTTTGTTTTTTTCTCTGCTCTCGCTTTTTCCTCTTTCACTCAAATTGCCCCTGCTAGCCTACCCCCATTTCTTCCAGGCCATGCTCGAGCTGCTGCTCAGTTGGTGAGTTCACAGCTAGGCGTTGTTTCGTCATTTTCATGTCGTGGTCGATTGTTTTCAAGCTAATTTTTATGTTCAAGACGTAAACCCACCAATTGACGCCCAATTAGCAATAATACAGGAAAAAATCTATTTTTTACAGATTTTACGATTTTCAGAATTTGATGTCGTAATCGAATGCTGGGGAAAGTGGTTACTGTAGTTAGTGGCTTTAATAGGTTGAATACGTGATTCTTTTGTGTTTTTTAGGCTTAATCCGGGCTCTATTCTCTCGTGGCGTCACCCCTAATTCCATCACGCGCCTATTTACGCACTTCCCGGGGCTGCAATCCGTTTTCGCTAAATTCCATTTTTGCGCGCGGATTCTTGCTCAAAATAGGTAGCAGTGATCATTGGGGAAAGGAGCAATGATTAAAGCAGGAATAAAATTTTTTAAATGTGTAGTTTGTAGTTTTTAGCGTTTTTTCGCTATTCGATTACGCCATGAAATTCCAAAAATCGCCTACAGTAGGAAAATCGTATTTTTAAGCGCGGTAATTCTCAACTGGATGCCAGTTTGTAGCCTGGAGACAAAATAGACTACAAAAGAATTGTAGTTTGTAGTTTTCAGCCAATTTTTGGACATTCAATTACGCCATTATATTGATTTTCGATTTTCGCTTAAAAATACCTGGAAAATCGTATTTTTCGCCCAGTACAACTTTTAAAAGTGACACCAAACTCCTCGCCTCTGCGTGGGCCCCAAAACCCTAAAAAATTCCCCAAAAATTCCGCTCGGCTACCCCCGGGGACAGTGGGTGTACGTAAAGAGGAAAAAACGGAACACAAATCCCAGCCTTTTCTATTTTTTTTTTGGGTGTGAAAGGGGGGAAGGAGCGGAAGTATCTATAGCCCTCCATACTCCCATTGTTCCGCCCCTGCCCCCAAGAGCGTCAATAGGTGTAGTTCGGCCTCTCCTCTGCCCTGTGTACTGAATCCCAAATGACCGCTGCTAGCCTGCCTAGCCATAATAATCACCGCTAGCCAGTTGACATTTTAAAGGACCAGTGAAGCCCAAATTCACTTTCCTCACGGACCTCTGCTAGGGCACCTGGTTTGAGGATTCAGGATTTCAAATTTTTGCCTCAAAAATCTCTGCTAGCCTGCCCAGAGCTGAGCTTTCCGTTCCGAAATGTTCGCCGCTAGCCAGTTCACCTTAAAGGACCCTTGAAGTCATCTTCTTCAAGGATCCCTGCTAGCTCACCATTCCCAAGATTGAGCCCTTTCTCTAACCCCACCTATCTCTCGCCCCTGGCGAGCTAGCAAAGATTCTTTGTGGAATTCCCGTAGCCTGGCTGCCAGTTTGAATTCCCCAGTTCTCTCTGCTAGCCTACCAGCCCGCTTTTGTTATTAATTACGCGTCTTTGGTTTCCGTGTGAAAATGCCGTCTGGCCTGGCGTATGTAAACACTTGTTATTTCCGTCCCGTTCCGCTTCACCTTCACCTTCTCCTCTATATATAACAATGCCCTGTTTTCCGCCAATTTCCCATAGACGTGCCCCCGTTTTCTAGCGTATTCCCGCGTATTTTCTAAAGGTACCGGAAAGGAAGGGCAGCCTGTAATTAGGCGCTACCGTACTCTGGAATTTGCCCTTGTTTTCTGAATTTTGCTGGCTATTTGCTTGCCAATACACACCTTCCGATAAAAATTTCGTAGTTCTGAGCAAGAAGCAAAAATTTTTGACGCTGGAAGGGATTGAACCCGCGGGGTGCGGTCACTCGAGAATCGAGGCTCGTATAATCTCGGATTTGTGTCAAGCTGGTTTTATGGCATCCAGTTTAACGGGTGACGAAAAAACTTCAAGAAATCAACAAAAAAGCAAAAAGCAAAAAGTTTTGACCGCGGACGGGATCGAACCCGCGGGGTCGCAATATCGACTTTTTATCATTTTAAGGATCTTAGCTTTTTTTTCTAGGCACTGGAGACGTTTTAGGGCCGTTCCGGTCGTCTGGCCGCCCGGAATAGCGGCCAAAAATGGGGGAGAAAAAGGCGAGAAATCGGATTTCGCCGGTGCTGTTTGACCTGGACCTCGACAATTCGATTTCCCGCCCCGAATTTTACTATACACAACGCCCCGCAAAAAAGGGGCGTGGTCGAGTGTTTTCCCCGACTTTCGTTCCGCTAGAAAATAAAACGTCATTTTTGGTTTTTAAGGGGAGAGCGACATCTCGGATTTTGTGGACTTTTGCCTTCCATGGCCCTTTAAAAGGCATAAAATTACTGTAACTTATAATTTTTGCTTTTCTGGCATCCGGTTAATCTGTAGCAATTATAAAAATTTAAATTTAACCAATTACGCCATCTAAATCCAGATTTCCCGTAAAACCGATTACGACATGAAAACCCAAATTCGGTGAAACGGTGATTTTTACAAAAATTTTTCTCGAAATTGGTTTTTCTGGCATCCAATTAAGCTGTTGTGACACTAAAAATTATATTTTAACCAATTACGCCATCTTAATCCCATTTTTCAAAAACCCGATTACGGCATCAAATTTTTCCGCTTGTTTCCAGGTCCATTTTCGCGGCCATTCCCCCTCCGTTTCATGTCCATTTTTGGGGGCCGCACATGGCCGTAAATTGGAGGGTTGCGTAGCCGGAAGACCCGCAAAAAAAACCCGGAAATATCGGGGGGGGTGCGCTCCACGAAATTGGCCCCCAACCCGGGCGAGGCCAAAGGTTTCCCAGGTTTTTTTTGCGGTTTTGTGTTTTCTGCTAGCCAGATAAACGATTCGGGCGGATTCGAGGCTCTAAGGATCTCTGCTAGCTTGCCTGGCCAATTTTGGGCCCTAAAACCGGTTTTCATGTCGTAATCGGTGGGAGGTCCCAAATTGCCTCTGCTAGCTTGCCAATAGCTAAACTGACATCCAGAAAAGCCATTTCCATTTCCTAAATGATCCCTGCTAGCCTGCCCTTTTGGGTAGACTCGAGTTTGGGGTGTTTTGGGTAATGTTTTTGCTCTTTCTGCGACTCTCTCTCTCCCTCTCTCTCTCTCTCTCTCTCTCTCTCTCGCTCTCTCGTTTCAAATTGGTCTCGCTGTGCCCTGAGGGCATCAAATATCTCAATGTCAAGTGCCGACGTCGAAGCCCTTGACACCAATTTTTGACCTTCGAATTCGACCGAACGTCTAGTTTTCCCAGAGCTAGCAGTGGCCCTTTAGGAAATCCATTTTGACTTCAATGGCCCTTTAAAGTTGTTAACTGGCTAGCAGAGTTCATTTTGGAAGAGACAGTTTTGCTCTGGGCAGGCTAGCAGCGATTCTTTGAGCCCAAAATGGAATTTCCGGAAATCAGGTACCCTCGCAGAAAACCTTTAGGAAATCCATTTTGACTTCAATGGTCCTTTAAAGTTGTTAACTGGCTAGCAGAGAGAGTTTGGGAAAACAAATTTTAGCGTTGGGCAGGCTAGCAAACCTCATTTGGGGCCCTCTATTTTCACCAAATTCGGCGGGCCAAATATTTACCCAAACCCGACCCAAAAAATGCAATTTGCATCCCAAATCATCTGCTAGCCGAGGCAATTTGCCGCAAAATAATTAGCACGCCATTTTTGGGGCGGTTTTTTGATTAGGGAGGGGGTGGCGAGCAAATATTTTGATGGATTGGGGCCGGGTGGGACCTAAAAGCTTCTCGGCCTCGCGCTTTTTTGCTAACAGGCAGGCTGGCAGAAACCCTTTGGGACGTGGGAATGACGTAACTGACTTCCCTGGCAACCATTTCAGCCATTTCCGACTCGTTTCCGGTTTTTTCGGTTTCCTAAAAGGTCTCTGCTAGCTTTCCATCCGATTCGGGAATCCTGACTTTTTTAGCTTTCCCCAATTTTCTCTGCGCGACTGCCCTTTTCTAGGCTTAGGAATGGCTTAACTGGCTTTCCTGGCGGCCAGTTAAGCCATTTCCGGTTGGTTTCCGGATGTTTCCGGTTTCCTAAATGATCTTTGCTAGCTTGCCCAAAATCGGGTCCCCCAAATTTCTCTGCTAGCCTGCCCCTCCAGTTTGTGCTCTGCCCCCTTAGCATTGCACCCAGCTCCCATCAACCCATTTCTGGCATCGAATTAAATATTAAGAAAATGCTATTAAAAATTCAATTTTTCAATTTTTTTCCGGTTTTTCAAACTCTCGGAAAGCCCGAAAAAGCTAGAGAGCACAAATTCAAGAGAGACGCAGCCATAATCGCTAAAACATTTCTTGGAGTACACGGGTGAATTATTGACGGTCACGCGACAGGGGGAGGAGGAGCGGGAGGGACGGATTTTACATCCGGAATCCGCCTCCCAACCTTTGCAAGGCTTGTACTTTGTAGTCTAGCGCCCGATTTAGCCCGAATTTTAACTGAACTTAACTACCTAACAGTTCAACCAATACTGCTTCAAATTTGGCTCGGGAGCTTGTATTTTGTAGCCTAGGCTCGTAAAAGGTCGATTTCCACTTCCGGTACTTTTGCAAGGCGTACTTTGTAGTCTAGCGTCGGATTGAGCTAAAATTTTAGCTGTAGCTTCGTTGCCTTCCAGATAAGCTAATACCATTTGTAGTTTGTAGCCTTAAGCCAAAAATCTGCGATTTTGTGCCGCTAATCTCATCGGCTAATTTGTGAGTCAGAAGACTCCATTAGACTCCTCTAGACACCAACGAGACACGTAGACGAGACTAGCGCATAAATTGGAATAAATGGAGGCTAAGGCGGCTAAGTAGACGCGCGTTTCCGGGTGGCTCCTATCCACGTAGGCGCCACAGGCTAATTGCCCATTGAAAGCGAGAAATTTTTGCCTTTGCCGCAGGTTCAATTTTTTTTTCTCATGCCAAAATGGGGATATCCGGGGGCGGGATTGAACCCTTGCGTGGCAGATTGGCGATTTTTGGACTCTAGGCTTCATATGACCCTTGGATGAGCTCGTGAGGCATTTATAGGTGTCGCACGTACTGGCTCGGAATCCTGGCCAACTAGCAGAGATTTTTGCGTTCGTTTTGCACCAATCTGCTAACTGTCTGGCAACTTAGCGAACCCCAAGCTTTGGGGCCTACCGTAACCCAATTCGACGTCAATAGGTGTCCAACGTACTATATCGTATTCTAGGCGAGCTAGCAGAGATTTTTTAGGAATTTTCACGTCAACCTGTTCTCGGCCCTCCAGCTTAACAAAATCCACCCCTGATTTAGTCGTGTCTATTGGAGTGTAGCGTAGCCAGCGGTCTCTCTCTTTGTCTATCCCCATTATTCCGGAAACACAGCGTAGCCTCGCGGAATTTCACGATTGAGTAGAGCCGCCCAAAAAACGGGCTTCTCCCACTACCCGCCCACCAGGGCGCGTCCAGAGTTGCCCCGCGGAACTTTTGCCTTTTCTCGGGTGCGTCCAGAGTTCAGGGGCGGAATTTCTTGTGATATATGGTTTTTAGGCTTCCATGGCCCTTTAAACTTGAAATTTAGGTTTTAAGAATTTAAATAGCTGAACTGCCATCTAATTAACCGATTAAAGACTTTAAATCCAAATTCTGGCCTCTAAACTACAAAATACAACGCAAACAGGGTTGAGGGCTGGAATTTTTTGTAATACTTGGTTTTTGGCCTCAATGGTCCTTTAAAACCGAAAACTTCGGATTTTGTAGTCTGTCTGCCAGGCTACAAACTACAACCGCTACTTTCAGCATGGGCCTATTCTCGGGGAAGAAGATCCGCTGGAACCACTTTGGGAAGAAGTACAACCTCCGTCTCTCCGAATATGAGTGGGACTATTCGGATATCTATGATGTGGGTTGTAGTTTGTAGTCTACAAAATCTCAATATTTCCAGGCGCTCCTGAAGAAAATCCACGAGCAACGCCACGACTTCGAAGGAACGCTGGCCTATATCGATGGATACGGTAGACAGGTAGGACTCTAGACTACAAACTACAACTAGCCGTGATTCTTTGGGAATTTTTTGAACTTTTTGGCGTGATTCGTTTTTCTGCCAGGCAGTCTGAAAATTCATCGATGCAAAAATGAATTTCTTATTTTTAGGCGATAATCCGGGACGACAAATCCCTCCGCGACGCCCTCACCGAAAGCAAGGGAAAACTGAAGGTCCGCCACTTCTCAGCTCCTTTCATGTGCTCAATTCCATTTAGCTGCACACCACCCTCCCCGAAAATGCCGTCATCTCGGCTGCTGATATTGCCGGAAGGCCGGCCAGGTCGCAGAGCGTCCCGCCGTCTTCGGTAAGTTCAGGAGTTTCCACGAGCCGTTTCTGCTGCAGGATCGCCACGGCTACAACACATACCCATCGAGCCACCGTAGCCAGGGAGCCGGAGGGGGTAGATCACCCTCATCCCTTGATTATCACCGGGAGCACCAGCTTGCCCACCGGGAGTCGCCGCCTTCGAGAAACAGGTACTACACCTCGAGATTGCTGTATTTTAGGCAAATCTATCTTTTTTCCGCTTAGCTGCCAGGCAGTTAAGAGATTCCCAAAAAAATTGGGTATAGAAAATTGAAAATGAGAAATATCCGTCGATTACAGTAACCCAGTACGAAAATTCCGTTTATTCCGCTACGCTACTCCTTTCAGGTCGACGTCCCCACAGGAAGGCATCGTCCAGATCCCGCCATCCACGATTCCGCCCCTCGAAAAGGGCGGTCCGCTGCAGCCGTGGCCAGTTGATGTGAGTATTGTAGCGTACTGTAGCCAGAAGTGTACTGTAGCGTTCTGAGGCTTCCCGGTCCCATTAAAAATCTATATTTTCATTTTTTATTGTCTAAATTTTTAACCTGTGCGGCAGGCCACCATTATATTTTGCATTTTCCCAAACCAACGAGAAACAAAAAAGTTCTGCGAATTTGAAAATTTAAGAATTCAACGTCGCAATCGAATGTCTATTACGGTATTTAGGCGCCGCCCCCTCCCGGCTACTACAAGGTGACCACTTATCCGACCATGTATAGCCAGAATCTGCTATACGGTAGGTTGGCAAGGGCAAACGAGCAGAGATCGTTGAGGAATGGGGGGCTCGGGCTCGACCCCTGCCGGGGTCGACTTTTGCTTTTTGAAATTTCGTATTTTCCTTTCCTTGGCAACACCTAACCTGGCATCCAGTTAAGCGTTTTACAGCCTAAGCGCAACCGGTTAGCGTTTAGTTTTTCAAGCACAAGGCGCGGGTTCGACTCCCGGCCGCGGCATTTTTTTGCTTTTTGACAAATCGCTTTAAAACTGAAATCTTTGTAGGAATGCCGCCTCACAACGGGATGCTGTGGCGTTTCCTGGCTTCCCCATTCCCATTCGGACACGGCAAGACATGGATGGGACCCAATAAGTACCACAGCTTCGGCAACTACCACGGCTTCTACCCGGGATATGGAGGCGGAAGGTGAGGAATTTTGGGGATTTGAGGGTTGTAGTTTGTAGTCTGGATCTCAGTTTGTCTAGTTATCAACTTAGGAAGGTTTGTAGCTTGTAGTTTGTAGCCCAGGTCATCAAAAACAGCTATATGGACGATTTTTGCATCTGCGTAGATTGTAGCCTTCGGATGGCCGAGTTAGAGTTTGTAGCCTGTATTCCGTCTGCCAGCTTACCTATTAACCTCAAAACCAGGGGTTGTAGTCTGTAGTTTGTAGCCATAATCTTCGAAAACCAGCTGGAAATGGCGCTTTTTCGGCCGGATTGTAGTCTGTAGCCTTGGCATCAAGGATTTGGAGTTTGTAGTCTAGAGCCTGGATGTCAGTTTGTCTACTTCCAAAATCTGTAGCCTCTCGCCCCTCAATTTTTTGAGAAAATCACTAAAAATCGTCATTTTCAGGTACATGCACAGCAGCTCGTGGGGACCTATTTTCTAAACAACCATCGATTTTTGGAATTATCGATCGATTTTATCGATTTTTTGGCATCGATATCGACAAAATAACCTCGCCCTCCTCATCGAAAAAACAATATCCCATCGTTTTTGGCTCAATTCGTGAGAAAATTTGACGAATTTTTGCAGAAAATTTCCGAATTTTCCACTTTACGCTCGGTGTGCACTACTGTAGATTACGATATGTATTTTTTCGCTAAACTGTGTCCCACGCTCGCGATTTGTACAGGAATAAATAAAAAAATTTCGATTTTAAAGGCAGTGGGACAGCTTTGAAAGACCATCGATTGTAATGCCGTAATCGACCGGAATATCGATTTTAATAAGTTTTATTCGGTCCACAGTAGCGTGGCAATAGACGCGGGACCCAGCTGGATGTTCGCAAATCGATTCGAGAGGCTGGCGTCCTGAAAAATGCGGGTTTTAAAGGGCCGTTGAAGGCAAAAACGGCTTCTCAGGATTATATTGCGTAATCTGAGGCTAAAGTTAAACCTAAATAACCTGAGCAATAAACTGGGTGACACTTTTCGATAACAAAACGATAAAAAATGGGAAAACTAGATTTTAAAGGACCACGGAATCCAAAACTGCAAACCTGCAAACTGGCGGAGACCGTGTGGGAAGTCGATCGGTTCAGGAGCACGACGACGCGCTGCTTTCCATCTGGGGACACGAAGGCCGTGCCTAAAAAATGGTAAAAATTACAAAAGGAAATTTTAAGGGGCCATTGAAGGCAAAAAACCCACTAAACGCTATTCAATTACGACAGGTAATGCGAAATCGAGTTTAAAGGTGTATTTTGGAAATTTTGAAAGTCGTATTGGCTTTTCTGACATGCAAGCCGTATTTCTCTAAAAAAAACATTTTAAAACACCATTGAAGGCAAAGAAACCCCGATCCAAGCTATTCGATTACAACATGTAGTGCGAATTCGCGTTTAAAGGTGTCTTTTGGAAAGTTTTAAAGCGTCTTTCTGACATGCAATTAGCATTTTCCAATTAAAAAAATACAAAAACGGAACTCACCCTCGAGACCGGCGGGTACGGTAATGGCTACGCGACGATACCCGGGACGGATGAATTTCGAGAAATGGCCGAGACCGTAGAACATTGGATTCTTGACGTATTCTTGTTGGGAGGGGAATGCCGTCATTGGGGCATCCACGTAGTTTCCCACCCAATTCGGCCCTCCCTGAAAATCGATAGAAATCAATCGATAAATGATTGGATTACGACATGAAAATCGTAACTATCGAAATTCTAGTTTTTGGGGGCAATGGCGTAACTGGCAACCACACTAAAAGTTCAGCATGTCATTTGGTGTATTGGTAAGCGTTTTGGCCGCAAAGTTAACGACGGGGTTCGATTCCCGCCCGGCGCTAACTTTTTGCTTTTTGGATTTTCGGTTTATTTTTCGATTTATGTCACTAATATGGCTGCCAGACTACAAGCTCCAAATGTTTTGCCCTCCAAATTAGCGACCCGGGTTCCACTCCCGTCCGACGCTTTCATTTTTTGCTTTTTGAATTTTTTGCTGTTTTTTTCGTGCTAGATAGCTTAACTGTCTTACGGACTACAAAATACAACTATCAGACTTTACCTGAATATCGAGGATCAAATTCCAGTCGTTCCATCCGGTGCTCCAGTGGTTCAGATCCTCGATGATGTTGTGCGCGTATTGATCCACTCCCCACCACGCACCCATCACCACGTCTCCATTTGCCGCCTTCCACCAGGAGCACGCCTAAAAATCGCAATCTTTCGAAAAATCGATATTTTTGCCTCAAAAATCTATGTTTTTGATTTTAAAGGTAGCGTGGCATGGATTACCGTAGTCTAGAGGTGTAACTTTTGCTTTTTCGGATCTGTTGGCTAAACTGTCAGGCAGATGACCCATTCCAATCCTCAAAAATACTCAATATTCAATTTTCAAGGCCCACTGAAGCCAAAATCCCCCAAAAGTCCGATCTGCCCGCCCACCTCGGTGTAGAGGATGAATTTATCGGGATACCGATTGTGCAAATCGTCCAGCACGCCCGGCCCCGTGTTATTATCGTCATACCAGTGCATCGCGATACCATCCACGTATTTTGTGGCCTCCGGGTCGGCAAAGATCTGAAAAATGGGGGCAGGCTAGCGGGGAGCATTGAGGAATCGAGAATGAGGCTAGTAAAGAAAGCTTTTGAGGTGAAATCGGATTTTTGGCTGCCGTATGGGATTTCTAGCAACTTAGCGCAGTCGGTTAGGGTCTAGATCATCAGGCAATGGGGTCCGAGTTCGACCCCAGGCCGCGCCAAACCTTTTGCTTTTTGCTCAGAACGATGATGTGACCTGGGGATTCTCCTGGCATCCAGAAGACCCAAAAATTCCATTTCCGGCCTACCGTATCCGCAAAAGCGGGATGGACGTAGCGCTGATCATCGCCGATCATGATTTTGATGTCTTTCGTCACATCCGATCCTTTTAGTTGCGGGCCGAGGGAGTAGCGGATGAAGTCACTGGAAACTACAGGCTACAAACTACAAACTAGCAAAAAATAAGGTTAAATCGTGGCTACAAACTACAAAAATCCGGGATAGACTACCTGAATCTCAATTTGGTTAGAAAAAGCTTCAAGCTACAAAATCTGGCTTGTCACTGGCTGCAAACTTCAAACTGGCATGCAAGCTGTCTAACAGTGAATAGATTCAAGGAAAAATCTAGACCACAAACTACAAATCCCCCCACCGTTCGTAGCTTCCGTTGAAGAATAGCGCCTGCCATCCATAACTAGGGTCTGCCGCCTCGGTCGGCTCATTCTCAGGAGTCATCCCCCAAAACGATAGCCCTTGCTTCTGATATTCCTCGAAAAATCTGAAAAATTTAACTTTTTGACGATTTTTGACTCGCAAGGCCCGGGTTCGACCCCCGCGCGCGACAGGCTTTTTGCTTTTTGAATTTTCGATTCAGTTTTGGTGTCAGCGGGGAAACTGGCACCCAATTTAGCTCATGCCAAAATTTTGGATCGGGTGGTCAAGTGGTTAGCGAGTTAGGCCGTCACTTGCAAGGCTAGGGTTCGATCCCGGCCGCGGTAAACTTTTTGCTTTTTTATTTTTAATTTGTTTTTCGATGCCATTGGCCAAGCGGGCTTCGAGACCACAAAATAGAACCTAATCATAGCGCAGTGGCTAACGAAATAGGCTATCACTCGCGAGGCCCGGGTTCGAACCCCGTCGGGGTAAAATTTTTGCTTTTTGAATTTAAAGCTAATTTTTTGAAGGGACACGCTAAACTGGCCACCAGTCTACAAACTACAACAATTTCCCCAAGGATCTCTGCTAGTTTGCCCCCAAAAACCGACCGTCTGTAGTACTTGGCGAAGGCCATGTAGTACGGGCCATTTGTCGCTCCGAGAAGGTAGCCACCACCCTGAAAATTACGTATTTCATGTCGTAATCGTTTATCTGACTTGCCTTCATCCTGCCCGTGTTCTTCATCCACCCCGGCGAGCTCCAGGCCGTCGCGAACAGCTTCAACTGGTCCCCAGTGGCCTCGACGAGCGATTTGGCCTTTTGGAGAAGCGGAATCTGAAGCGGATATTAATTTTTGAGTACACTGGATGCCATATTGGTCATCTGCAAGCTTAAAGCAAAACCTCGAGCAAAAAGCAAAAGGTTTTTCACGGCCGGGGGTCGAACCCGGGTAGCTAGATTGGTAGTCAGAGCCTCTACCGACTGCGCTAGAGTTATGGTGCTGTTAGTTGGCATCCAAATTGCCGTTTTCAATCAAAAAATTTCAAAAATCAGCAGCATTTTCAGAGAGCAAAAAGTTTGTCGCGCCGGGGATCGAACCTGGGTAGCTAGATTGATTAAAAAGGCAGTTAATCATTTGAAAACTTTAAAAGTCGCTACCCTGGCAGCCAGTTTAACCAATTACGCCCGAAAAATTGACGCCAGCCACCGTACCTTCATCAAATTGTCGTCATCGGTGAGGGCGAAGGTGGCCATGTCGAAGTCGTTGGTCGTGTCGCAATACGAATACGCACGCGTCGAAAAATCGCAAGAGCCGACCGGGACGCGCGTCATCGTGTACTGTATTCCTTCAAAATAGCTTTTTAGGCTGGCTTGCTGGCTTCATGAACAGTTTTTCAATGGTATTTTCAACAATTTGAGCACAAAGCAAAAAGCAAAAACTTTGGCCTAGCCGGGGGATCGAACCCTCGGGTCATTTAGCCTTGCCAAAGCCTTTAATGGGTGCGGTGGATGTCAGAATAATCAAAAATTATACCATTGGCCCCATAGTAGTCCTGGAGAATTTGTTGTTGCAGATCTGGGGATAGAGCCTGAATATTTATGCCAGAAGCGTCCGTCATCGCGCCGCCGAAACCGATTATGCTCTGAAAAACGGCGTTAGGTCGTAATTGGCCAAACTGCTAGGCAGACTGTAGATTTACGCAAAAAAATCGGAATTTTCGGCGTATTGTAGCGTACTAACAATAACATTGCGTAATCGGAGTTCTCAAATATACAGGGTGTCCCAAAAAAAACGAACCATCTGGCATTTCGCCGTATTACATCCAATCGGCCCCAAATTTGGACCAGAGATGTATCAGACCCTAAATAACAACAATCCTGACTTATAGCCCTGTAGCTACAGTAGTTCTCGAGTTATGACAAAAACAAACTTTATTTTCCATTTTTCATAGGGTTTTCGTGGAATTAGACCCCCTAAACATTAAGTGAAAATGATCCGGCAGGCCTTCTTTGCCGTAAGAATTTTTTTCCAGAGTAAAATTCATTCTATAAGCTTCGATTTAAGCGATTTTTACAACGCAAAATTACGCAAGTTCTTAAGCGAAATTAGGGATTCGCAGTCGGAAGTCGATGCAAATCGATGCAAAGTCCAAAAAGATAGCCGAAAAAACTGTTCAGAATTCCGGGAAAAACAGTATTTTCGTTATAACTCGGGAACTACTATAGCTACAGGGCTATAAGTCAGGATT